ATTTAGACCTTTTGAGGCGAGGTACCAGAAAGAGTGGATATTGCCCATTTTCGAACTCAATCTATGTTTGGCAATAATATTATGATGTACCAAGTTTGGTTCAAATCGGATACTCCCTTCGAGAGCTATCGAGCGCAGCAGCCAGCAGTCGGGCGGACATCACTAGTTCGACTCCATATATCCTGAAACGGATTTGGTTCAAAGAGACCTAGGCACATTTTGGACGTATGTGTATTTATATATACCCTCTCTAGCCATATGGCTGAGGGTATAAAAATATGAATCTAGGGTTCTAAAAATATTACTTATTCTTTGGCTCTTGGCCAAATTGGAAAATACTATGACATGACATTGTTAAGATAAGAGGTAGTAAGGAGTTTTGTAAGTAGTTACTGACGGTAAGATGTACTTAATAGGCCCTTGTTTGTTAATGATATTTTTTGCAGGACAATCCAATTTGATTAGTGACAACTATTTTCACATATGCAGACAAACTTTACATCAAAATATTTTTTTGCTATCTTCCATCTTATCTGCGTTCCGAAATTTGTGTATGTGTCGCTCATTTCCTGCTTCTTATCTTCGAGTGTAATGCTTTGAAATATGACCAACTAATATAAATTTATTGTGGTTGGAAAGTAGTCGTCAGTAGGCATTGCTAATAGAGTCATAAATCGTACCCCAGAAAAGTCACAAGTGGACATGGACATTATGGGAGATTGTCTGGGACAAATTGTCGGCAATCAAATGCGTACAAAAAATAAATTGACCAATTCAAAGAAAACGAAAACAATTCACAGCCAAAGGATATTGAATTTATAAGAGGAGATGAGTTTCATCACACTTTGTAATTTAGATATCGCATAGGAGGAAGTGTTGGCCCTTCCCGTAATAAGAATGAAAGCATTTGAAATATACATATATTGGCTTCTTCTGTTTGCTTCAATGTATAACCAGTCTTAAAAAAAAACAGGAATGGAATTTCTTGAACACCGCCTCAATTGGACTAGGAATGCGAAGTCGAGAGCAAACATTTATATTTCCACGTTTGTCTTCAACCTTCGGAAAAACCTTAGGTCTTTCGATTTTGCTAAAGTTCGATTTTCGATTTTTTGCTTTCCACCAAAATTCGAAAAATTCGACATCGATTATTAATGTGTTTATTTTTGTTAAATAATAGCATCGGTTTTTTACATTTTAATGGGCGTAAAAAAATTAAAAATAAAATCTCATTATTGTTAATTTTTTTGACTCGATCTATCAGATCTACCTATTCTCACACAAATTCTTCTTTGTCACACAAATATTTCCTTTAATTCCAGAACTCCATAAAAATGTATTCCAATGGACTTAAACATCAAACAGATATCAATTAATTCTCCTAAATTTTTTTTTAGATTTTCTGTTTTCCATAAAATTTTAATTAAATGCACATAAATTGTTCTTTGTGATTTCTAAAGCAGTGGAATGTTTTTCTTTTCCAAATCTCAATATGATATCTACAAAAAGTTGTTCTTGTGAAATCCTAAAAGGACACACATGCAAAAAAAGAAAAAAACTTTCAATTGGTTCAAAAATAATTCGAAATATTTGCTATTGAAATTCCAAGAATGTTCACACAAAAGTCCAATATCAGCAAAACAACAACAACAGCAACAACTCGATTTGGCTTTATTAAGAAATAAGGAATTTTATAAAATTCCTCAAAAACATTGTGGTTTCATATTTGGAAAATATTTTATTATTTTTACCTCTTTGTGAGCTCTGTGCTGCACAATCATTTGAACATAAATAATTTATTTTGCAAGCTACCTACAACATGTGATAGATGTAATATCCTGGTATGAATGTCCTGAGTAGTTTTATGTCATCAACACTATCGCATGCCTGCCAAATGGAATGATGAATGGAGCACTTCGAACTTTTGATTATGTGTGTGAATGTATGTTTGTATGTATGTATTTAGATTCATGCAAAAAATGTGAGCAGTGCTGCCGTTTGAGTTGATAAGCGACCAATATTTTTTAATGGGGCGATTTTCGTAAGATTTCGTTGGGTATTCATATATAAGCTTGGAATATCTTTGTTATGACAATATTATTTGATGACGATATTATTGAATTAAAAGATTAACTCAAATCCCACAATACCTGTAATTGAGCGTGTCAAGTTCTAAAATTATATATAAGAAATACCCCAGACAACTTACTACCAATATTTGAGGTGTAGCCCTTATGAAAGGTACCTCAGTGTTTAAGAAAGAGAGTCCCAACCTTCAACAGAGTGGATTGTAATTATACATTCAAGTTTTCATGGAGCTAAAACCAATTCTAAAAAATATTTAAAAAAAGGTTCGCTGATTTTTATAGCACCTACACGGACTTCTTCGGATATAACATAGTTTTACCGAACCGAAATTTAGAATATAGCTTCAACTTTTTATACATTTTTCCACAACGATGACGCCGAATTTAACGTCCAAATCTGGTACATCGTAATAATATCGGTCCATATTGGTCTACACCTTTTGGTACCTCCACCACAAAAGGACAAAATGTAAAAAAAATATTTTTTACTTTACAGAAAGGGAAACGATGATCCAATTTTGCTCCAACTTTGCAAATCCTAATATTTCCATCAGAGCTAAGTCAGTTGCTACAAAGGGTCAAAATTTTGAATAATTATAACTCTTATAAAATGTGATGTAATATTCCGATTGTCTTCCAACTACACACATTACAATATTTTTATTAACCCAAGGTCTGGTGTGAAGATGGAATATATCGGTCCACTTCTTCTGGTACCCCCACAAAAGGGTCAATATTTTCAATATCCATAATATTTTCAAATTCATTAAAACTTGACAAATCTCAATATTTCTATCAGCACAAGATCTGTTATAAAGGTGGTAGAGATAGAACTATTACTTCTGGTACCTCCCCCGCAAGGGTCAAAGTTTTGAATAACCAAAACGATTATAAAATCCGAAATAAGCACCCGCTTCTCTTCATATTTCACACATCTCATTATTTCTACTAATACCAGATTTGCTGAAGATAGGATATATCGGTGCACTCATACTAGTACGTCCCCCACAAAGGGTCAACACTTTGAATATCCATGGAGCTCCTAAAATGGAAAATAAATATCCGATTGCATGCAGATTTGGTATATCTCAATATTTCCATCAACGTAAGATATGTTATAAAGATGGTAGAGATCGGACCATTTCTTCTGGTACCTCCCCCACATATTCAAGATTTTGAAGAACAAAACGCTCAAAGAAATCGAAATAGGCATCCAACATGATATTTATTTAGGTCCGATACGAAATGGACGATATTGGTCCATTGCTTCGAAACCTACTTCATAGAGGTTCAACCATTTAAATAATCATAACAGAAGTCAAAATATATTTAAATAATCGAATATTGGCTGAGGGTATATATCTGTCGGCAAAACCGATTGATTTTTTTTAATTTTTATTTTTAGATATTCCAAAACGTCGATAGATAAATATAGAATTATTGTCTCTAATGTATGCTATTTTAATATATTTTTATAATATTCAAAATACATTGACATTTTTAAAATACCTTATTAAGACTGCACCTTCCAAGTATTGACTTTCTGAAGATCCTAGTGGTATTTTTCATAAAGTTCTCTATAATTTCTTTGTGTTCTTAACGGCAACCAACCCTATCCCGAAAACATATCACCCATACGAGGATTCACTTTTTCCGTATTTTGATGCCATTAACAAAATTTAGTTAGATCAGGACGACCGGGACCGGGACATTATCACTTTTCTGATAATGGTATTTTTCATTTCTTACAAATTCCATTTTTGGTAGACAATATCTGCAGTGGCAACCCTACGTCCTAGAGGCACATGGAATTGATATCCACTCCAATGTAGACCCATAGAAGTACTATATTACAAATAATTGTATCTTTGGCAAAATAAGCCATGTGAACTAAGCCAGATGACAAACTTATTAACAATTTAATAAATTACATATTAACGAAGACTAACGAAAGTTTCGTTGTTGCTTGTTGTAGTTGTTGTTGTGTTTGGCTTACTAATCATAAAATGATTTTCGACACCAACACTACTCGTCGTTCGTCGGTTGTTGCTTTGTCATTAAAAACAAACAAAGCATAAAAATGTCTTTTGCCGAAAGCTGTCAAATAGACAAACGAGCTGTCGCCTTCTCAGATGTATGGCAGTCGGTATGGCTCATGGCTGGCTATGTAAATTTCGAGAGCCAAGTAACGCCATAACAATCACAGGCCATTAAATGGATTTTACCACCTGTCTGGTGGCTGTGTGTCGGGTTGAAAGTGCCTGCCAGCCAGGCAGTGAGCCAACCAGCCTGTCTGCCCATTTGCCCATGTTGTTATATCATTCACATGAGAGAAGAAATCGAAAAAATCCTGTTAAAATGACAAATATATCGGACGAAAAGGCTGTCGGTTGGTTGGTTTGGCCGCAGATTTTATGCGCCTTGGGGTATTTTTGCCATAACAAAGACATTTCCAGTTGTAATCGGACTGGACCAAGCCATGTGAATTTTGAAATTGAAAAAGCCTTGCAATTTGTTATTTTATGCGACAGTTGTAATTTTGTCAAAAAACAGCACACAGTATTTCAAAATCGCCCAAAAAAGCAAAGAAAAATGAAATAAATTGTGTGCCTTCCTACCACTAATCCCTAGAAGTAGCCCAAACTGAAATGAAATATTGAAATGAAAAGAAATGAAAAATCGAAACATGTCAATGTTGTGAACAAAAGTAAAAGGTGTTGAGGAAGTTATGACTGCAACGTATGTTAATTTGGCAACATAAGCCAAACCATTGCCTGAGTGTGAGATTTATAAGGTTCCAGCAACAACAATAAAAAACATTCGTGAAATGTTGCATGAAATTGCATTTTTTTTGTGAAAATATTTTATTTGAAATTAAATTAAATTGTTTTTTTTTTTTTCTTTCTGTTTTAGGACGATTCGGATAACATCTATTCACGCTATTACGTGCCGGGCACCGTGACCCGCAAAAAGGAGGAAGAACTTGGTTCACCCACATCTGTATTGGAGTCCAGGCGTCAATATGTCTTGCAGCAAAGACAAAATAAAGGTACGTTTGAATGCACAAAGAAAATGGAGATATTTTGTGAGAATGCAAAAATAAAAATTTTGAAAATCGAAAAGTAGAAACATGGCAAAAAGTAATGCGATTTTAAGAGGATTAGTAAAGAAAGCGCTGCAATTTAAGAATAAACTGAATATTATTCTATTATAGGATAGATTAAAAGAAAATAGAAAAATCAGTCATATATTTTGTGGTGCAATAACTCCCTTATAAGTTTTTCGTATCGGACCCCTATTGCATAGAATGTAATAAAAAGAAATCAATTTTTACCTATAACGTATAAAACGAACCTTGGATTAGCCTGGTCCTATTCCTGTCCATATGCTGTAGGGTAGGTCCCAAAGAAGATGGACACATTCCATTTCCCCGCTTGGTCTCATATAGATAAAAATGTGGGGCTTTGTTTTTTTTAAGAAAAACTTGACCTTTGTAGAAGAGATTCAAGAAGGCGTCAACTGATTTCGACTATTGTTTTCTCCTGACCTAAGGCTGATCCTGACCGTATCATATGAAATTTGGACTATAGGAGCATTGAAAAGTACAGAATAAATAAATTATGAAATTGAATAAAAAATCTAAAATTTATGATTCTTTCTAGGGATTTGTCTGAAGATTGAACTTAAAAAAATAAATAATTAAAAAAGAATAAAAACCAAAGAAACCAAAAAAACAAAAAAAAAAAAAAAAACAATTAATTCGGCCGGTCGAAACTTTGAATATCATCCACCATTTGGAACGTATTTGGAAATTTTCAAAAAATAAAATCCGTTACAAAGTCTTTTAAAATCATAAAATACCGAATATAGCCTTTATATTGAGGTCTTTGCGAAGAAGTGGACCTGCATTGGCAACTTTTGTCATAAGTCATTACAATATTCAAAAATGAAACATGAACAAAAATCCGGTGAATAATCTAGCTGAAATCATAAAAATGCCGAATATCAGGAGGTGCCGTTATATGGGAGCTATACGAAATTTTTCCCATAGGTTGTGGTAACCCTTAAGATCTTCTAATACGAAATTTGAAACGATTCCAGTAAATAATATTGCTGAAATCATCAAAATACCGAATATCGGAAGCTACTGTTATGTGGGGGCATACGAAGACGTGGACCACAAAATTTTTTGTCATAGGCTGTAGCATCTATTACGAACCTCAAATACGAAATTTCAAACATTTTCAGTGAATATTGTATCTATAATTGTGAAAATGGCGAATATAGGGATGTACTAATATATGGGGCCTATACGAAGACCTGAACCTGCATAGACAATTTTCTGTCATAGACTTCAGTTTCGAACAATACGAACTCTAAATACAATTTGAAACAACTCCGGTGAATAATGTCGCTAAAATCGTCAGAATATCGAATAACGGGGGATATCGTTGTTTGTGGGCACTACGATATCGACATAGACATTTCTCTTCCAGGGGGTAAAGTGCTTAAAAGGAACTTCTAGTATGGATTTTTAGACAATTTCATTAAAAAATGTAGCCAAATCAAATATAGGGAGGTACCATTATATTGGGGATATACGATATCGTGGACCCACGTAGACAATTCTCTTTCCGGGGGAAAAGTACTCAGAAGGAACTCCTTTTGTGGATTTTCAGACAATTTCAAAGACAAATTTAGCTACAATCATCAAAATACCAAATATTCGACGTACCGTTATATGGGAGCTATACGATATCGTGGACATATAGACCATCGTCGACCTGGAGACAAAAGACTGATCTGTGCAAAATTTTAGCTTCCTATCTTTATCAGTTTTGACTCTAGCGTGATAACAACAGGGATAGGGCTAAAATTAATATTTCGATGAGTTACAAACGGAATGACGAACTTAATATACCCTCCATACTATGTATGGTGGAGGGTATAATACGCTTAATAAAAGTTGCTTCTTCACCCTCTTTTCCTAGCTCTAAAATTGATATTTCCCTTGACTTCGCATCAATTTAAACGCTTTGCAAATATAAACAAAATATCTTTATCTTTTCAATTTCAATGTTTCGAAAACTATCTCAATTTATGCGCAATGCTCTCCTCTAAGTGGATTAGAACATCGTTTTGTTTTCAGAATATATCTTGGTTAAGTGTTCACCAACCAAAAAGGAAACAAAAACAAATCGAAAAAAGAAAACTTATCTTAAAGCCATAGCGTTTGACACCATAAAAAAACGTTTGTCAATGCCTTAGCATTGCACTAAAATGTCATTTCAAGTTTCGTGTTATTGAATCGAACGAGGAAAGATTGTCACTTCGTTCGGGTTTTTTTATTTTTATTCTGGCATTTGAAGCCATTGGTATGCAGTGTTTTTTGGCATCACGGTTATCGAAGGTGTTAAAATGCGATTTCTGGGTGTTTGCCTTCAAACGCGAAGTGGAGTGAATAGAGACAGGGTAAAAGGCTGCGAACAAATGAACGGTGTAAAAATGTAACACTAACTATGACAAGATGCATGCTTTCGACCTAGATTCCGTTTTTTTGGCTGCCAAAAAATAATTTGTTTACTGTTCGAGCGAGCATGTTGACACTTTTTGGGTAGCATGACAAGAAAAAAAAAACTAGAAGAGAAAAATGTAAAAAAACATACTGTTGTGGAAAATAAGCTCGCTGGATATTTGCTCTGGCTTTTCGGAGTTCAGAGCGTAGGCAGGATTTCTTGGTGTTTGATACTCCTTTTTGGGTTGACACCTAACTGTAATTGGAACTCCTTGTAATTTTGTTTTCCTTTTTTTATTTTTTACTTTCAGCCTTTGCCAGTGCCCATCATCGACGTATTGTAAAGGAGGGCTCCTGTCGCATACCACAACCACGAGTTGAACGCATTCGTCGTGACTCTTGGAAAATCTACACACCGCATTGCACAATTTTACATCGCTGCGCGGACGATACCGGCTGTTGTCCCACAGAGCGTCAAACCTGTGCCCCCAAACGCACAAAGAATGTGGATTTATACTTTTTTGTAAGTAATTTTTTGTGGTAGTATTAGGATGATATAAAGTCAGCTTGCATACATTATGATATTTGTGATAAATGGCTGAGATGGATTTAAATATTTAAAACTTTTAATGTCTACGCACACAATTTCCGCCGAACAGCCATATATTTAAATATGACTGAGAGTGAGGTTATCTATCTATTTATTTATTATTTCCGATTCTTGGAATTATTGAAACACATAAGCTCTATTTTATAAGGCATCTGAAAAATACGTGAAAATAATAGCTTGAAAATGTGATTTTCTATTATCGATGTATCTCGGAAAAAAAGTAGAATCAAAGGTCAACATTTTGAGAACTTTTTATGCCCTACAGTACACACCCACAGTTCGGTTTACAGTACACTATTATTTCTTTATGCATTTGTTTGTAACACGGAGAAGGAAGAGAGATAGACCCATAGTTCATCTGAATAGAATCACATTCTGAGTCGACGTATGAATGTCCGTCCGTCCGTCTGTCGATGTATTTTTGTAAAAAAAGTACAGGTCGCGTTTATTGTCCGCTTTTGCACCAATCAATTGTTTGGCCCAAGAATGAGCACTATTAAAATTGGTTCAAATGCATGGGTTTAAATTAGATATAGCTTCCATGCATATACAGGGTAAGATAAAAAAAAACTACAATAAAGTCGAACGCCATAATTTTTAAATTTTTTAAATTTTATTGAATGAAAGCAAAAAATGTCGGAAATAGCATCAAACTTTAGAATAAGTTTAGATTTGTTCTAATTTGGCTCGAATTATGGGCTTCAAACGACCAATGAAACCGTCACACGCTGGACAAATTTTGCGGTATTTTGGCCCATTCCCGGCGGAGCGCTTGCTTGAGGTGATCGACACTTTGGTATTCTTTAGTGCCAACCTTGCTTTCCAAAATGCTCCAGACACAATAGTTCAACGGATTTGTATCCTCTGATTTTGGCGGCCATTGTACGCTGGAAATGAAGCGAGGAACCTCATTTTGTAACCATTCTTGGTGATGGTGCTCAGTCCGGTTGGAATGTCCAAGGTCTGCGGCCAAAATGTTTGCGTGCCCAAGGCTTTAATACACCCTTCAGAATATTTCCGCGATAATATTCGACATTTATTCTAATGCCACGGTCGATTAATACGAGCGGAGAACGGTTGTTATGCGGCCCACACCATCACCATGGCCGGCGCTTGAGTTCTGGTGGTCAACCGAAGTTGCACATTTTCAGCTGACCTCTTTGGCAAGTAAACACGATCATGTTCCGAAGAAAACCAAATTCGGCAGTTACCACTTTCGCTCTTTTGAGTCTATTTTCTTTCTGTTGGACTTTTTGGAATTTCAATGGCTTTAGCCCGAGCTTATTTTTAATATTTGACGAATATAATATTGCCATATGTTCAACTCACGAGCCATTTTTCGGTCACTGCGACGCGGGTTTCGATCAAGTCGCTTCTTTACTTTTTGAACCATTTCTGCTGATGTTGCCGTTTTCTTCCGTCCACTTCCTTGACGTCGGGCTACGCTACCAGTAATCATGGTAACGAGCGATGGTAGGAGACACAAAAGATTTATTCAAATTTAAATGCTGGAGTGCTCCAACGATAGCCACTTGTGATTTCCAGCCAAATAAAAAAATGACACTATCACGCTTGAATTCCATCACGAATATATTTTTTTTTTTTTTTTTGGAAAATTCTCACCAAAACGCTTTTGTACGCTTGTAAACAATATAATGAGCTGTCACTGGAATAATTTTAACAGCTGTCGAACGAGTGGCTTAGAAATAACAGCAGTCTGAAGTTGGTTGCAGTTTTAGCTCTATTAAATATGCAGAGTGGTGTAGGATATCATATATAGGGCTCCCCGACATTAAACCTTTCATTTTTTTTTTTTTTTTTTGGAAATTTTTGGTTTGTCTAAAAAATATTTCACACAAAAGTTTTAAATCTATTCATGGATCATTTTTCAAAACAAAACAATCCAAATAGATTCAACCATCTCCACATGTAATATCTCAAATCACGATCATGGCTTCGAAATTGAAAATATATAAGAATAGCTTTGAAATATATTGCATTGAGATGGCTTTGAAAGTGGTAACTCTTAATGAAAATCATAACGACCGTTTTTGTAAAAAATGGCATTTAAATGCTTTTGAAACATATTTCAATTTCTATACCATCATGAAACTTTATTGCGTAACACTTTTTCTTTTGGCTATTTTCCAAAAATCAAATTGGTTTCTAGATGTAATGATATTTCCATCAAAGTATTCCCTATGAGGGTCTATGTTTTATGCTATTTCTCTATTCTACAAGTAATTCAATTTCTAATATAGGTTTTTTTTTATTTTAAATTATAAACAATTTCTGAAATTCTCCTAATTGCTGTCTTGCTGCAGTTCTAATTTGAAAAGAAAAACTTTTTTCTTTTCAAATTAGAACTGTTCACCATTTTTGTTTAATTTGTATTCGAATGCCAAAACTTAAAACGTTCCTAGTTTTTTTCAACAATTTTTTTTTTTTATTTACCATCGAAAATTCTATTGATTGTTACCATTCATTTATTCATTCTTTCTGAAGAAGTGGCGAACAATTTTTATTTGTTACGACTCGGAAGAACAACAGCCAACAGGATGCCAATAAAGTTTTCTGTTTATTTGTTGTTGTTGCTGTTGTTTTGAGAGAAAGAGGGAGATAAAACAAACAAACTTTGGGATGTTTTGTAAGTAGCAACTAATTGTTATTTTATTACCAGTTTGGTTTTGGGCAAAAGTTTTTCAATTTTAATTGGAATTTACTTAATTAAACTAACTTAATGAGCGAACCGAACATGGCGAATTTCGGACAAAGGATATAAATGAGGCATACACCAAAATACAGTTAGATTCAATTAGAGAATTGTAAGAGAGAGAGTTCGGAAATAATATAAATTGGATTTGGGGAGATTGAGTTGGAGACATTCAAAATAGTTTGGTTACTAGATCTGGCAAATTTATTGTCATACAGTGATAATTTGAATACATTTTTTGAAGATTTATCTTGGATACCATATGTGAAATAGACCCCAGTATTTCAAAGAACTTTGCCCCTTGTGTGGGTCGTTGATGTCATATTGTGTTCACCCGGTGCAAAGGCAAGTGTGAAAAAGAGACAGAGTCCATAGGGCTGACGCTCAAATTAAACACAAACAGAGATCCCAGTATAGCATTGTGAAATCCAATAGGACCCTTTTATCTATTAAGAAACCCATTTGGATATTGGATATTTTACAAGTTCCGTTAACTTTCTTTCTATCTAAACCGACGACCTATATTGTTCTGATAAAAACGTTTAAAGATTCTTTCACATAAAATCTTCAATTTATTCTCTCCCGTTATCCAATTTAAAAATTTGTTAAAACTGTATCTCACACCACTCCAATCAAGAGTTAACACACATAAAAGTGCAACTCTCATCCACTCGAATCTTTCGATTGCACTTAACGTCAGTCGCTGCAATGAATGGCAATGCAGCAGCAATTCGATTTAATTTGATGCGGACGGAATGCATACGACATACAGAGATATGGGTCCACTTTGAATATTTACTGCGAAAAGGTGTTCTATGCTCTAAAAACTCAAGATATCATGTCAGATTCAAATCAGTTGGAAAATATGGCTAACAACCTCGAAATATATGAAATTAATTGCACCATATCCTACGATTTCAAAATACCAACATTTTTGTATAAAAAGTTCGAAAACATGACAAAAGGAAAAACTTTAAATTTCTCCAGGACAAACTTTATATACCCTCCGCCATGAGGTGAGGAAAAACTTTAAAAAGAAAACAATTAAAAATCAGTAAGTCCGGCCGGGCCGAACTTTGACTGCTCTGTATCCTTTGGAACGTATTTGGAAAATTTCCAAAGAATAAAAACTCTTAAATAATTCTGTTAACATCTGAAAAGTACTGAATATAGGGAGTTGCCGTTATATTGGGGTCTATACGAAGACGTGGACCTGTCATAGGTCATTACAATATATAGATAAATAAGAAACTTGAAAAAAATCCGGTGAATAGTGTAGGTAAAATCATTGAAATAGTTTCGCTGAATATTGTATCCAAAATCGTCAAAATACCCAATATAGGGAGGTATCGATATATGGGGGCTATATGAAGACCTGGACCTCTATAAATAATTTTAAGTCGATATACGAAATTTGAATCAAATTCTGTGAACAATGCCGCTAAAATAATCAAAATAATCAACATACCGAATAAAGGGAGCTATACGTAGATCTAGGCCTGCATATACAATTTGCTGTCATAGACTGTAGTACCAGTTACGAACTTTCATTACGAAATTTGAATTAATTTTAGTGAACAATGTCGCTAAAATCATCACAATACCGAATATAGGGAGGTATAGTTATATGTGGGCTACATCTAAACGTGGACCTATATATGTGGTACCGCACTATCGGTTGAGCCATGCATGCTAGGGTTCTGATAGGTATTGGTCGGTTTTTCCAAATACCGAATAGAGGGCGATATAGGCTGTAGACTGTAGTAACTGTTACGGACTTTCATTACGAAATTTGAATCAATTTCGGTGAACAATGTCGCTAAAATAATCACAATACCGAATATAGGGAGGTACAGTTATATGGGGGCTATACCTTAATGTAGGCCTATACAGGACATTTCCAATACCAAAAGGCAAAATTTTATTATTTTACATTATCAACATTTTCGGTAGCTAGAGTCATTTCCACAAACTGATAGACGGAGCGATAAGGCCCCATTCACAAACTTAACTTCTGCCTTCTGACGAAATATGTGCAAAATGTTTGGCTTCTATCTCAATTCGTCGATTACAACTGACAGACAGGCGGACATCGGCAAATCGACTTAGAATTTTACGCTGACCCAGAATATATTTACTTTGTAGGGTCTAACATAAATATATTTCGTGGAGTTTTAAGCGGAATGACAAACTTAATATA